GGCAGGATTGACATCTAAACATTGTGTATAGACATTTCAGGCATGATGGGGCACATTGCAATGATCACTTCCTTTGTCAATAATGCAGTAACGGAAGAGGACATTCTAAAAGGGTCTACACGGTCTCATTTACAAGTTTGTTTCTTTCAAAAAAAAAGGCAATTACTTTGCCAGGATTATACTTCATCTCCATCTTGACTAATGACAGGTCTGGAGTAGATATGTAGGCATATGGAATGAACTGCCAGAGGAAGTGGTGGAAGTTTGTACAATTACAACACTTGAAGCATCTGGATGGGTACAGGAAGGGTTTAGAGGGGTATCTGCTTAGCATGGACAAGTTGGACTGACGAGTCCGTTTCTATGCTGCAATGTCTGACTAAGGCAGTGCAGTTGATGTGGCTTGCAGGTACTACAGTAAGGCCTTTCACAAAGTCTCCCAAGGAAAGCTCAGCCAAAATTTGGCTTGCAAATAAGAAGCAAAGGGTGGTGAAGATGATTGTGACTGGGAGCTTGTGATCCATTTTGTACCATATGGATCAGATTTGGGACCCTAGCTGTTTGTTATATACATTCCACAACTTGAGATGTGGATGATGTAATTCCCCTGGACAGGGGACTCCTGGTGGCAGTAGGCCCAGAGCCTGGATTCTTGGAAGTGTCCACAAGATTGATAGTGGCAGCAGCAAGCCATGGTCTCCTGGGCCATCAGCATTGTTGTTGCTGTTCCCAGAGCAGGACTCCCTTGAGGACTTTGAAGAAGCCCTGGAGCCATGCTTGAGACCCAATCTGAGCTGAAGATTAACTCCTCTAAGTAACTTCTTTTTATAACTCAATTGTGGTGACAAAGCACTTAACTGTATCTTCAAGATGTATGATTATATAAATAATTCTTAGTTAGGTCTGACTGACTTTGCAACAACTAAATTAGTATCTAGACTAGACATAGGTAGGCTTTCCAGGGTATGAACTCTCCTGGATACTAGCCAATAAGCTATCTTACTTAATTTTTGTGGTTGAGACCACATACTGGCAACAGCTACACTGGTTTGCTATCTAGGACCCTGAAGAAACTTTCTACTTTTTTTTAGCTGAGGCTTGGCTTTGTTTTGGGCTTTTGCTGAGGACCAACCTAGAGTCCCTTTGATCAGGATATGCTGAGTGAGGCTATGCAATAGTCTGCAGCTGAGCGGTGCTTCTCAAAATCAATTGGCCTGGCAAGAGTGTCTCCCATCTGAATAGCCTGCAACTCTCATGCTCCAATAATAAAGCTAGTTGCAGCTTCAAGTCCAGTTGGGCTTCAGCTAATAGGGGTTCTTGTGTAGTCTACATCATTAATCTCTCATAGCGGACAGTCTTTTAGCATCTCATTAAGTCAACTGGCAGAAACTTGTGTCTGATCCTTATCAAAACTCCCAATACTGACTGCCCTGCTTCTCAAATTGCGAAGTTAAAAGCCATAGGGCCTCAGGATTAGAGGAGGTTCAGTGCAGGCTCTATTTTTTTCCTCTCCAGTGAGAGAGACAGCAAAGTAGCTTTAGCCTCAACTCTCTTTTGCGGAAGAATCCATTATTTTACTGAGATGTGAACTATTTTCTACCCCTTCAATTGCACCCACCTGCATCTGCCCTCCTTAGAAAGGAAAGTGTTGTCACCACTCCAGCTATTGTCTGTATTGATGTCGACCATTGTAGATGCTTTAAACATTCCACATCATTTCGCTGACCTCTTTGCAGCATTTTTCTTGATTCATAGATGCCTGCAATGTCTCAAGGTTACATAGCTCATTTTAAATTTTCTAGTCCAGTCACACACAATCCAAGAGCTAAAAAGAAAATTTGTACCCAAAAACAAAGTGTTGCAATTCATAGATTCTCTTAGACGACAAGGTGCAGGGCTGGATGAACACAGCAGGCCAAGCAGCATCATAGGAGCAGAGAGGCTGACGTTTTGGGCCTAGACCCTTCATCAGAAAAGGGGGAGGGGAAGGGGGTTTTGAAATAAATAGGGAGAGAGTGGGAGGCGGATAGAGGAGAGGATAGGTGGAGAGGCAGTGGGAGAGAGATCCCTTGAGGTTTGTCTGGAGGGAGGAGGGTAACTTCTTCAGGTTAGGCATCCTTAGAAGAGGCTTCACAGTGGGGTTAAAATTGAATCAGAGATAGGGTCTAGGCCCGAAACGTCAGCCTCTCTGCTCCTACGATGCTGCTTGGCCTGCTGTGTTCATCCAGCCCTGCACCTTGTTGTCTCGGATTCTCCAGCATCTGCAGTTCCTACTATCATAGATTCTCTTGCCATTTTTGCCCACAACAAAATGCTCTGACATCTTTGGCATTTGAGCATTTTGCTGGTCAAGATTTGAACAAGAATTTGTCCGTGACAACAAGGTG